CTGGTTATCATTATTAATATCCTTGTTAACTTTTTGCAATTTGTTTTGTTCATTTTGAAAAATGAACTCATAGTGTATTGAGGGAAGGTCTAGTGGTGACGAATTAGTATTACTGAATTCAAGGTCTTCATTTTTCCTCATATCTAAAAGAAGTCTTATGAAATTTAGCATTTTTGGCTAGCAGATTTTTGTTTGAATATCTTGAACATATCATTCCATTTTCTTCTGGACTATAAATAATATACTGAGAAGTCTGAGCCTACCTTGATGTTAAAACTATTAAAAGTTAAATACTAACCCTATCCCCCAGTTGCCTCCATATTGTGTCTTTCTCTTGAGTTATATTTGGCAGATTTACCATTTTATTTTGGTGTAAATATTTTTGCATTTTTATTCTTTCTTCATTTTAATAAATCACTATTATTTACAAAATTACTCATGATTGAGCTTTACACAGACTATGTTTCAATACCTCTCCACACCAGTGTCTTTTCCCTTCATCAGGGCTCCCAGGTTCCCTCTTACCCCCACCCCCAGCCTCTCACCTTGACAGGCACAGTTTTAAGTTTGGTTGTTAAAGTTTTGATATTTTGTATTCAGTGTTGTTGATAATGTGATCTGAATAATTAGCTATACCACTCCTTTTTTACATAAATGTATTCAGTTCTCATTGACTCCTATCACTCTTTGCTTCCTATCTATATATTCTCCACTGCACTTGACTTCTAAGTTTCTTTGTCCACCTCCAAATACTTGGGGGTGAGGCTTGATCTAGGCAATATAGTTTATTACAGTTAAAATATGAAAATAGGTGACAGAAGATTTTGCATGCAAGTGCACGCACACACACACACACACACACACACACATATATATATATATCAAGACAATAGTTATACATATACAAGAAATATACATAATATACATATATATGCCCATTTATTTTATATGCCAGACACAGTAACAACAAAAGTCTCCAATGGAGACGTTACTGGGCCCGCTCGAGCAAATCGATGATCAACGGGAGGGCCTTTACCTTTACCTTTACCTTTACCTTATTTTATATATCTGTTTAGGATAATGAGGTTCAGAGGTAAAAAACATGTTTGAATGCTATACTGAAGACTTCTAATAGAATTAAAGAGAAATCTAAATGTATCTCTTTCTCTCATTTTTATTAATTTTGTATTTCATTCAGCTATTTTTGAGTTAGATAAAATTTGTCTCACATAACTCAACTTTCCCCAGATTAATCCTCTTTTCTTCCTTAGTTTTTTAACAATAATAACTATTATTACTTATTAATAATATTATTTAAGCAAAAATATCATTTGTCAAGTACTGTGGCAATTTTTAAAATTATGCAGATTGAAGGATAAACCACCATTCTCCTTTAGTAAGTTTTTAGCCACTACTTGCATATACTGTCACTGTCACTGTCCTCCCATTGTTCATCGATTTTCTCGAGAGGGCCCAGTAACAAGTCCATTGTGAGACTTTGTTGTTATTGTGTTTGGCATATTGACTACGTCACACATGCTACCATAAATACAAACTTAAGTCACAGACAATACATGCAATTAGTCGTATGAAAGACAAAATTAAAGCACAGTATTTGTATATTATCAAAATATGTATTTACTTCATGTCTTTTTCTCACACACCTATTTTCATTTCATTTCATTTCATCATCCTGTTATTCGTCGATTGCCTCGAGCAGGCCCCAGTAACGTCTCTTTCATCCTAGCCCTGAGATTATATTCAAGGCTCTTTAGGAGAATGAGAGCCATCATTGTTACTGGTATTTGGCATATTTGGTACGCCACGGGGAGTTTGCCAGACTCTGCCCTGTGGGCAGGCTACATTCAATAGCCTGCAAGTTTGTCCAAAGTAGGAATGAGATAATAAGATGCCATAAAAAGATGTCCTGATAAGACGCACGGCCGCGAATGCAGCCACGCAGTTCCGGGAGCTGGATTTTATAGTCTCTGAGTCTTGGCCGTTGATGGAATTACACGGCGCCAGGGGGCCAGGTGGTGGGTGTGACCCCCGCCTACTGGGATTTGAAGGATCTGGGTGGAAGATGCTTGACTCCAGTCCGAGTAGGCTTAGAGATCTCGGCCCCGGAACCCGCGTGGCTTTGTCCCTCTGCCAGTACCTTCATGTGTGCGGAGTGTGGTCTCAGCATGGTGGTGGCTGGTCCTGGAGGTCTTCGGCTGCTAGAGCCCTGGTCGGGGTGGGGAGGAAAGCTCAACCCGCTCCCCTCCAAGGGGCATCGGCGAGGAACAGCCAGGCGCAGGGGCAGAAGTCTGCACTGTTCTCGTCCGGGAGCTGGATTTTATAAAGCAGTTCAACTAAACTATTTTATCAATTTATAGTTTAAAAATCTACTGTAGTTAATATATAGATACTGACCATCCCTTATTTGAAGACTTATTAAAAATAATGTGTGAAGATGCATGTATTTATTTACAGGTTTAATCTTACAGAAAGGGGTTTTAAGTTTTGTGGTAGATTTATGGCAATCCTGTGTTTAAGAAAAAAGTTGTCCATCTCTCTTCAAAAAACCATAATAAATATGCATACTCATAAAAGTATAAAATACCATGTGAACTTTTCCACTCCATGTTCTGTTGAAAAACACCTAATTCCATGATGCAAGAATCGTTTTATATTTTGTTTCTTTGTTGTGTTTTAGGATCAGTTTACTACTGGCTCTGTACTCAGAAATTATTTGTGGGGACGGTATGTGAGACCAGAGACTGAACCAGTATCTGCCACATCCAAGGCAAGTGCCTTAAGTCTTGTACTGTGCCTCCCACAACAGATCAGTTTTTAAAACATCAGTGTATACAGGGAACATAAGAAGTGATATAAAAAAATAGCAATGTTTATTTGTCTATATATTTATTTTATAAAAGACTCAGAAATATGCTTCTATTATAAGCACTTTAGTATTTCTAAAGAGAGAGAGAGCTAATAGATGTAGATAGGGCTTTTCATCCCCCAAAAGTAAAATACACATTTTTCTCCAGTGCACATAAAACATTTTTCAAGATAGACCTCATGCTGGGCCATAAAACATGCCTCAATAGAATGAAAAAGATAGAAATTATATCAACTATCTCTTCAGATCATGATGCACTGAAGATTGAAGTTAATCACACACAGAGAAACAGAGAACCAAATCGAACACCTAGAAATGAAACAGCTCAATACTGAAAAATAGTGGGTTAGAGAGGAAATCAAGGAAAAAATCAAAAGATTCTTGGAAACAGATGAGAATGAGGACATGAGCTACCAGAACTTCTGAGACACAGCTAAGGCAGTGTTAAGGGGAATCTTTATAGCTCTGCAAGCATTCATCAGGAAGGAAGAAAGAACCTGCATAATTGACTTTACTTCACAGTTTAAGATCTTAGAAACTGACCAACAAAAGGAGTCCAAACCAGGAATGAAGAGGAAAATAATAAAACTTAGAGCAGAAATCAAAGAGCTGAATTTCACCCCTCCAACCAAAAAAAAAAAAAATAGAAGTGAATGAAATCCAAGAGATCACTGAAACTAAGAGCTGGTTCTTTGAAAAAGTAAACAAGATTTTAGTAATTCTAACTTATTTTAGAGAACTCACTTTGAAAAAATTATATTAGATTGTTACAGAAAACAAATTTACAAGTGGAAATAGTTTTTTTAGTATTATAAATGTATATCTGTAGATATGCATGAATATATGTATATATACACTTTCACTATCACTGTTACTGTCCTCCAGTTATTTATCTATTTGTTCGAGTGGACCCAGTAACGTCTCCTTTGTGACACTTGTCACTGTGTTTGGCATATTGAATACGTTCAGGTGTAGCTAGCCAGGCTTTGTTTTGAGGGCGAAATATTCTCGGTAGCTTGCTGGGCTCTCTGAGAGGGGCGGAGGAATCTAACCAGATTGGCTGCACGCAAGGCAAATGCCTACCCGCTGTGCTATCGCTCCAACCTATACACACACACACACACACACACACATATATATATAGTATATATCCAGCCCATATATATGTGTGCTATAGCTCCAACCCATATATATAATATAAGATATATTAATATCCAGCCCACATATATATAATATATGTATATAATATATATATGTTATATATAATATATATATGTTATATATATATGTATATATGGGTTGGAGCGATAGCACAGCAGGTAGAGCATTTGCCTTGTGCGTGTCTGGCGTGGCTGAGACAGGTTCAATTCCTCTGTCCCTCTCAGAGAGCCTGGCAAACTACTGAGAGTATCTCGCCCACAAGGCAAAGCCTGGCAAGCTACCCGTAAAATATTCGATATGCAAAACACAGTAACAAGTGTCACAGTGGAGATGTTACTGAGCCCGCTCGAGCAAATCGATGAATAACAGAAGGACAGTGACAGTGACATATATATATACACACATACAAACACATATGTACCCCATTCTGTTTTTTCAAGTACTTTCTATGTCTCTGTCAAGAATGAGGTGTTGAGGAATAACCTTGAATGTTTTTATTCAACGCTGCCCAGTAAATCACTTTCTGTTCTTTTATTCCTTGTTTGATTGGAGGGGAGGGGCAACATTAGCAGTGCACAGGGCTTACTCCTGGCTCTGCACTTTGAAATTATTCCTGACTTGAGGGAGTAAATGGGTACATGCTAACAAACTCAAGTGGACACATGCAAGTCAAGTACCCCACAAATTATGTTATCGCTCTGGCCACTAAATTCTTTTATTGAGAGAAACCGACCCAAGTATCTATGGGTACGTGACTACCAGGAGTTTAAACTTGAGATTCATTGATATGTCTAGCACCACATAAATGGTCTGGTCAATATAAAAACTAACATGTTTTTCACTGCAAACTTACCTCTGCCTAAGGCCATCATCTTCCAGTTGATTATTCACATTCAACTGACCTTTTACTTTTAATTGGAAAATCACTTGTGTTAAATTATATTCACAGATGACTTACAAATAAATAGCTAGGTGTCTTATTCTTGATGAAAGGATATGATGTGATAGCTAGGTTTAAGAAGTGAAATGTTAAAACAAAAGCCATTCATCTTTAAAGCTCAGCAGCGTTTAAAGACACATTTTGAGCTATAATTCACAAGAACAACTTAAAAAAATAGCAAGGTATTTACCTCAATTCTTCAATTATTGAAGCCTCTAATTTATATATTAATTTTTTCAAGTTTTTTTTTTCTGGCATACTTTGGGTCACACTGACCCAGGAGTGCACTGACTCTGTGTTTGGAGGTTGCACCTGTTTATGCTCAGCAACAAATATGGTTCCAGAAATTGAACTTATGCATGCAGAGTAGCACTGTACTGCACTGTAGCTCTGTCATCCCATTGTTCGTCGATTTGATTGAGCAGGCACCAGCAATGTCTGCCGTCTAAGACTTGTCGTTACTGTTCTTGGCATATCGAATACACCATGGGGAAATTGCTAGGCTCTTCCCTGCAGGCAGGATACTCTCGGTTGCGCTCTCAGCTCCTGAGAGGGATGGAGGAATCGAACCGGGGTCAGCTGCATGCAAGGCAAATGCCCTACCCACTGTGCTATCGCTCCAGTCCAAGCATGCAAAGTAGGAACAGAAAAATGGTTTTAACCATTGGTTTCCAATTTACTGTAGTGACTGCTTCTTCCTACTTATGGTTCTTATTAGTAGAAAGCAATGCATTTTAATCTCAAGGAAGAAACTAGTAAATATTTTTAATGGGTAGATCACTGTCACTGCCATTGGTAGATAAATTTAAAAACAAATAACATTCAGAAAAAGATAAAGATGTTCAGGGGACTGTATTTGGTACCTGGAATTTCAATCCAAGTCAGTTTTGTGCACAGTAAGCACCTTATCCACTTACTATTCTCCCAGCCATCAAGGTGGTTTCTGAACAGTTTTCTAAAATAAATTGAAAAAAATTGTTAGGGCAAAAATACAATTAAGAATATGATTATAAAAATTGAAGGTAAACCACTCTTCATATAACCAATAGTGTGGGGAAAATCCAATCTAACTACTCTAAAACTATTAATCAAAGTGAAATATCTGTTTCTAATATTATGCAGATATGAAGCTTAGTATTGGTTTGACTTATATTTTGCAAGTAAGGTTTGTAGCTAAGTAGATTATGAAATTGCAGTGATGATTGCATGTGATATACAACTATTTTTGGATTTGCAAATGGTGACACCAAGTAGGACTGAGTTGTTTTAACATTAACTTAACTTTAACTTAACTTTAAATAACTTCCCTGTAGATAGTGATTTAAGAAAAGGAGGAAGGATTTCAATATTTAAATTTTATTGTAATATCTATAAAATGTTGTATATGAGCATAGTTAGGAAAATAGTAAAAGAAAGTTTTATATATATATATATATTTTTTTTTTCTTTTACTTAGATGAAGGGCTGGAGCGATAGCATATGCCTTGCATGAGGTCCACTCGGCCAACCAGAGTTCGATTCCTCGACCCCTCTCGGAGAGCCCGGCAAGCTACCAAGAGTATCTAGCCTGCACGACAAAGCCTGACAAGCTCCCCATTACATATTTGATATGCCGAAAACAGTAACAACACGTCTTACAATGGAGATATTACTGGGCCTGCTGGAGCAAATAGATGAACAACAGGAGGACAGTGCTACAGTGCAGTGCTATTTAGATGAAATAAACATCAAAGATTAAAACTAACCTAAGACTATTGATAATCTATTAATGTTAAATCAGTGTTCCCCAAAGTATCAAGTTTGGAGGGTGGAACAATAATACAATGTGTAAAGTACTTGCCTTGCATATAACTAACCCGGGTCCAATCCCCCGATCCCCACATGATCACCTGAACCCACCAGGAATGATTTCAGAGACAGGAATAAGACAGGAATGAGCACAAACAAACAAACAAACAAACAACAGTCATATTTGTTCTAAGACAAATTTACAGTCATCCCTTAAGTGATCTTTATATGGTGGACATCTATTTTCAGGCAAGGAAAAGTATCTACCTACATGCAGGGTTTCCATGCATATTTATCATGTTGTCCAGATCCTTGTTGCCCAGATCCCAATCACATTATTTTTTTCAGATATTATTCCGTAAGTTACAACCATATGTATCTAATTAAATTTAGTAATTTTACCCTACTAATTACCTGATGTAATTTGTTGACTTTTACAGCCCAAGAAACACCCACAGAAGTAAGAAACTTTATTCACTGTGCTTTCTTAATAGGAACTTTAGTAGATCTAAAAGCTTAGGTGTTGCAATAGTGAAATAATCTATGCAAGATTAAACTGAGTTCAGTACCTAATGCTGCATATGGTCCCCAAGCATACCAAGCATACCAGTAGCATCCCTTGAGCACAGATAGATAATCTTTGGATAGTGGAAAGGTGTAACTCAACCCATCACCTCCCCCATAGTGAAATACTGATCATATTTGAAAAGAAACAATCATGACAAGATTCAGTATTTCATCTGAACATGGAGGTGCTTTAGTTCACCATTCCCAGAAAAACTTCAATGAAATGGTCTTTGTATTCCATAACATGTGACCCATAATACTCTAATTTAGTCTTTAGTTATATTTTTTTCTGAAATGTACTTGTAGTATATTTGTTGCTAAATAGTTTTATAATATTTGTAATGTGGGTAAAGGTATGTGTCCATGAAGATGCTGTCCATGTCAGTAGTCAAATCATATATGATTTCTGAAATGTCTCCATAAAAGTTAGAAACAAACAAGTAGCACAAAAATAGAATATTTCATTATTTAAGAGAATTTTGTTTTATGGAAGCTAGAAATTTTCCTGCCATTTCAGAATTAATTTCAATGGAAAATTTGTAGTTATTCTATTCCTAAAAAAATTAACTCAGGTAAGGGCTGGAGCGATAGCACAGCGGGTAGGGCGTTCGCCTTACAAGCGGCCAACATGGCCGACCCGAGTTCGATTCCTCCGCCCCTCTCGGAGAGCCCGGCAAGCTACTGAGAGTATTCGATATGCCAGACGCAGTAACAACAAAGTCTCCAATGGAGACGTTACTGGGCCCGCTCGAGCAAATCGACGATCAACGGAAGGGCCTTTACCTTTTACCTTTACCTTATAGCAACTATAAAAAAATTAAAAACATAGAAAAAATAATGTGGAAACTTCTAGATAGGTAATATAGATGCTGCAGCTGTTGACAGCTGAACAGTAAACCAGAGAAGGGGAGGGAAAACAAGTAGAATGATAGAGGGAGAGAATTTGAGGGAAAGCTCTTCATAGAAATATAAACATATGCATAACACTGAATAATAATGTAAAGATGAAACATAGAGTATGAAATATGTGCTATAAAGACAAAATACATTTTTAGAAAGTATGGCAAAGCATTAAAAGAATTTTTGAATAAGAGCTTTTAAAGCTATGCTGCAATGCAATATTATGTCATAAATATATAAAACATGGATACTTACTTACCCTAGGATTTCATATGCTCAGAGATCTCAGAATGTGCATTAAACTTACGTAATGCACATAAGAAGGGACTGAAGATTATAATAAACACGTAATTGCAATTAAAATAGGCAGAAAATAGAAATCATGAAAAACAGTCACTGGAAGTTCTAAATATCTGTAACAAAATAAAAATGAGAGTATGGAAGATTTAGTAATTTTTTTTAATGTTTGTGTCAAAACCTGCAATTTTGACATCATGGTAGAAATCTGAGAGTAGACCAAGAGGCTGGTAAGCTAGAAACCTCTAACAAACTGACTCAGAGTCTAAAAGAACATCTATTTTCTTACTTTTTTGTTTTCTTTGTTTTGTGGGTGACTCCTAGGAGTGCTAAGTTATGCCCGGATGGAACCGGAGTTCCCTGAAAGTAACTAATGTGCATTTGTCTTTGGAACTGTACTCTTGAGCTCTAGAGAAGCTATTTGCTTCTTTTTCTATTTTAGCTTGGTGGAGCTCAGGGATGCCAGGAATCAAATCCAGGTCTGCTGCATGCAAGGTAAATATCCTACATGCTGCACTATCAGTTTGGACCAAGAAAGACTATTTTTTAAAAAGATTTTTTAGGAAAGACCTTTATAGCTTTATTCCACCATGATCTGTTGACAAAGATAAAAAATGAATGCTTCAAACTGCAACAAAAAATTAAAATGATGCATTAATGATCTCTTACTAACACCCTGGTGAGCTTAAAATTATTGAAGCTCACCTCATTAGTAAGTTTGTCTACGATTAAATCGTTAGCTTAACTTAGCTGTTTTGGTATATCTGCCCTTGGGTTTATTTGCGAAATGAATAAATGGTTTCTGAATTATTCCCCTTTGCTTGATATTGCAAATAAAGAAACAAATCCCATAAAGTCTGAAGTAAAGATTATGCCAGCCAGAGGGTTACAAACCTATCTAACCATTGGGTAGGATAGCTTGTCTACGTACTCTTACCTAAACTACTATAAAGATGCCAAAGATAAAGTGTAAAAATATAAAGATGTTAACTGGGATTTAGAACATCCTTATTCTGTCTTCTGAAGTGGGAATCACGTAGGGGAATCCTTTTGACAATGAGTTTTATCAATTTACAAAGCAAAGATATGATTAGAAATGAAATCCAAGTCGCCTGTCTGAACTCACCAAGGCGGATGGCAGCAAAAATTTCAAATTAGACACACTTACTGAAGGAACTTCCCTAGGAATTTAGGACTAATAAGATGTTAAATGATGCCAAGCTGAATAAAGAAGGTTGTACTCCCTCAGGAGGGACAAATCTCCCTACAAACACAAAGTCCTGACAAGAATATGAAAGAAAACCACCAAAACTTCTTTTCCTTTCACAGCACCCTAGTAATAGGCTCTTATCTGCATAATAAACGCCCAAGGTAAGGCACCTGATCAAGGGGCCTATCAAATTAATTTTATAAATGCAGGAGTAAGGCTTTATACTCCACTCTGGGGCCACCCAAATGTAAATATGTATAATTGCTTTGTTTTACTTTATTATGCTATATTCTCTTTTGTAGAGGCCCATATTCTCTTTTAAAAATGTTCACTCCTAGAACAGAAGGGAATTCCCTGCCACAGAGGCAGGGTGGGATTGGGGGGAAGGGTGGGAGGGATATTATC